GCCATTGTAAACTATTAATTAACGATGTTAAAGATTCTTAACCCTTAAAGGTTAACAATCTTTTTTTTGGTAGGGAGGTGTAATGGGATTACGCAATATAATATATTTTGCTCATAATAACAACCAGGAATGCGACCACACCCAAAAGTGTTTTCGACTACGAATACCACTTTCATAATCGTGAGGTCCATATCAAGGACGACTGTACACGCGCCGCTCACTTTCAAAGGACGCCGCCACCATATATATAGGGGACAGCGAGACAGCCTGAGTTAGATGTATCCAGAGACGAGAACACCACACGTCTCGCTTAAGCCGCCCAGCCATTTCACACGACTTACACGGAGATTATCAACTTCGGAACGAGCTACAAATTCACTACAATCAACACTATTATTCTGCTTGTTTTGCCTGGTTTAATATAATACATTTGATTACCATTCTAATTGACTATTATTATTTATCAAGTACACCAGCTTTTGGATCCCTGAAGGGCCGCATGTAACAACATTTCAATTTAGTTTATAAAAATATAAAATGTTCAGATTTTTTTGTATTTTATTTTACTATATTTATAAGACTTAGAATCCATATAAGGTTTATTGTAAAACGTAGATATAAATTCTTATCTAGTATTGAACAATTAAATGTAAATAATATTATATTATTTATAGGGGAATAGTTAACATTTGGTTTTTTTTTTTGCATTAAAATTGGCCCTCTAATAGCATTACAGGAATACAAAAACCATTTTGCAATATATTATCAATAGGTCATGTTGTTCAGAATATTTGGGGGAATGTAAAAACGTCCCATTTGTGGATTTAACATGAGCGAACGTCGACTTAATATAAAAATTCTTTATGGTATTATGAGAACACATAAATGTAATTAGAATAATGATGAGTAATTACTTTTTGTGTATCACAGAGACTGAAACATTATTAAAAAAACCTTAAATTATTAGGTGGTTTTACAATGGTGTTTATTTATTTTTTTTTTTTTATCGTGTAAATACAATTTCTACCAGAAGGAGTTCTGATTTCAACATAATAGTACCTTATCTTTTAGCAAACTACCGACAAATTACAAAGAAACCACTTAAAATGGGATTTTAATTTCAAACGTTTTGTTTATAACCGTAGCAACAATATAAAATAATAATATAAAAATATTAATTCATCTTAAGGGCTATAATTAATAATAAAAATATAAAAAATCTAGACTGATAAATCGTCTCCACTCAGAACCGTTTTTCTTTTGCAATGATAATTCAAGTTTAATACAATTCATTATATAATGACCCATTTGTAACCTACTGTACAGCAGAGCGACATCCATTTACCTATTTTTTCTTTATTTTTTTTTATTTATTATATCATGAAAGTTAAATTAATATTAAAATATTATACTTTTTTATCCGTTGCTATGATGTTAAACAAAACGGAAAATAAATCCAATTTTTAGCGGTTTTTCGTAATTTATCGGTAGTTTTCCAAGTGGCATTAAAAAAATATTGAGAAAATCAAAAAAATAACCTCTCAAAAGTACCATCTTCACCCAATTTGCTAAAAGATTGTATGTTGAAATTGAAGTCTCGTAGAAATTTTGTATACAGGATAAAAAAAAAAATAAACACCAATGGAAAACCATTAGCTTCCTCGCTCCCCTCAGAATCTAAAAAAAATTAACAAAAATCGAAAATATCTCGTGGCTTTAAAAAGTGTGAATTTCCAGTGAACTTTTCTTTTTGCTATAAAAATATTTATGTGAAACCTTCTATGAACATTTTTATCTTAGCTATGAAAAGAAAAACTTTTATAAATTTCTAACTGAGAAATAATTTACGACATTTTACGAATTTCTTATGGATAAAAATAGCTCAAAAAGGGTTAAAAATTTTTGAAAATATTAACATGTATCGTAATGGATATTTTAACATTTACTGAAAAATTCAAAGGTCTACAATTATTATTTTTGAATATTACAACAAATATAAACAATTAGTAAATGAAAATTCGTTAACGTAATGATGAATATTTATTATCGTAAAAATTTTAAATTTAAACGCTCATAAAAGGTTAATGTTACTTTCCGGTAACCTAAATACATCCTGTATGTAACTAGTTTATATTTCAAAAATGTAATGTCTTCTTATCTTTTATTGTTTTAAAATTTGAATGAAAAAATAAGTAAATAATAAACAGCATTGTAAAAGCACTAGCATCCTCACTAAGCTTAGAATCTAAAATAGGTAAATATTATAAATATATAAGTTGAAAGACTATGAAACAAATAATCTAATAATATTATAATAAACCATGAGATGAATTAAAACTTAAAGGTGCTCTGCTGTACAGTAGGTTACTAGTGGAACACTGTATAATGTATGGTATTTTTGATAAAGGTATATAAACTTATGAATAATCTTGTATTACATTTTTAAATCTTAGATTTAAAAAGAAAAATTTTTATGCATTTCTTACCTAAATAAAATTTTAAGATTTCGCTGGTCTTCCGTATTTTGTTTAATATTTGAACCTTAAATGCTTATTAAAAAAGGTGCTCTGCTGTACAGTAGAATACAAGTATGTAACTGAATAATGGATGGTTTTAAATTTGAATATTATGATGTAATATTTATTATAATAATGATATATTAACAACAAACCCTGATACTATCGTAGATATATAAAAGTGTACTTTAGAAGTTTCAAGTACTCACAAATAATAATATACAATCACGACAAAATAACTGAAATATTTAATCTAGGCTTTTTCTTATGGAATTTCGTCCAAATTTGAACTTTAAATGACTAAGATTTTTTGGTAACAGAATTAATTCCTTACATGGAATATTGTTTTAAATTATCATCTCTTAGATATAAAAGTTGAATATTTTATACATTTTTAAACACAAAATAATTATTCAATTTTAAATTTGATAAATTTTGTCAAAATTCGATCTTGAAATTCTTAAAAAAAAAAATTGTGCATAAGTATGTTTAATATTTTTCAACTGCTATTGTAACAATATTTCAAGAGAATTGTATAAAATATTTAAACTTTTTGGACCAACACATTAAACTTAATTGATATTCAAAGAAAAAAAAAAATAAAAAAATTGAACTAAAAAAAATGAAAAAAAAAACATTCAGTAAATATTTCATGCATCTACAATTATTCGTTTTTGACTTATATCAAAATAAGAAAATCGTTATATGAGAAATCGAGTGAATAACAAATTTTGCAAAAATATGAATTTAAAATACTCATAAAAATGCAATTTCACTTTCCGGTTGACATTTTGATAAAGGTTAACAAACTTATGAATAGTCTTGATACTATCATAGATGTATAAAAGTGTACCTACTTTAGAAGTTTCAAGTACCCACGAATAATAATATACAATCCCAACAAAACAACTAAAATAGTTAATCTAGGTTTTTTCATATGTAATTTCGTACAAATTTGAACTTAGAATGACTATAAAAAAAACCGTGATTGTCTTTTTTTTAGATTTATTGGTAACAGAATTAACTACTTACATGGGATATTTTTTTAAATTTTCATTTCTTATATATAAAAGTTGAACATTTTATACATTTTTAAACACAAAATAATTATTCAATTTTAAATTTTGTTAACATTTGATCTTGAAGTGCTTAAAAAAATAAATTGTGCATAAGTATTTTTAATATTTTTCAACTGCTATTGTAACAATATTTCAGGAGTCTTGTATTAAATTTTTTAACTTTTTGGACCAACACATAAAACTTTATTGATATTCATAGAAAAAAAATAAAAAAATTGAAAACTGACAATGCCCGTAAACAGCTCAAAAAGCTTCAAAATATTTTGAAAATTTTATCAACTTAAAAAAAAGGAAAAATAAACATTCAGTAAAATTTTCATGCATCTACAATCATTCGTTTTTGACTTATATCAAAATAAGAAAATCGTTACATGAGAAATTGAATGAATAACAAATGTTGTAAAAATATGAATTTTAAATACTCATTAAAATGTAATTTCATTTTTCGGTTAACATTTTTTTTTTTGATAAAAGTTGACAAACTTATGAATAGTCTTGTATTACATTTTCAAATCTTAGTTTTAAAACGAGTTAAATTAATAAAATGTGGATACTTAATATGAATGCTTGATACCTACTTACACTTTTTTAAGTTTATTACAACACATTTTTAATAAAATGTTTATACAATTTCAATAATAATATAATATAGTAACAACAAGTCACTTGTAACAACTGCACATACCAAAATTTAGGTAATGCAGCTAATATTTTTTTAAGTTTAAAAAGAAATTGAAAACCATATTGGTATTTAACGTGGATAACATGCAGTCTACAACTTTAGGGTAAATATAAGTGCTTACAAAGTATGACTAGAAGTTATGCATTGCTGGATTTTCTTCTAACTTGCACAAAAAATAACTTATTAACTTTTCAAACTTTGTTTCAACCTATTCATTAAGTAAGACACGAAGGGTTTTATAAATGTAAACTTTGGTAGTTTGTGAACCATGCATTTTTTTTCAATGTTGTGTCAGTTGTGGTCAATACCCCATTTACATAAAAAATAGAATTTAAAAGAAATAATGAAATGTCTTTAAATAATGATGAATGGTCTTATAATATATATTTTACTGCCGGATTTATAGAAATTACTAAGTAAATTCTAAGAAAAAACTTGTGTAGGGAAATTCTTAGATTATTTTTCAAGAAGGTATTCAGAGAGAAAAAAAGATAATTCTCAGCTAAGATTTTTGTTTAGATTTTTCTAAGTCGTTACAAAAATCTTAGTTAAGAATATACTAATTACTTGGAAAAGAAAACGTCATGGGCATCGTTATCATCATATTTGTTGTTGTTATCACTTAAAATGTTATTTGAATAAACACTACTATAAAAAATTATAAACACACAAATATTACTATTATCTATTATTTCTTACATTCTTTATACTTTAAATTCAAACATGAATAAAAGTATTGTTGAAAAAGACGTGTCAAAGACAAAAAACAAACCTTTTATACCCGATGAATTGTCACTTCTTTCTGAGCTAGTTTATAAACACAGATTCATATTAGAAAAAGTTGGTAAGCAATATTCAACAGTGGCTGACAAAAGAAATACTTGGGAATTATTGGCTAATGAATTTAATAGCACAGGATTAAATGTTACTGTAAGTATCATACATTTGTATTGATCTATAATAATTTGTTCAAATATTTTATTTATTTATTTATTTTCCCATATTGTGTAATATTTTATTTTTTGTTTAGCGTTCTCCTGACCAGCTTAAGAAAAAATGGGATAATATCAAACAGACTAGAAAGACAGAAATAAGAGACACAAAAAGACATCAATATGCAACGGGTGGAGGCCCATCTTGTCAGCCAACTATTAATGACTGCACAGTCGATCAATTTTTAAATGAAATTACTGATATTGAATTAATTGACACACCAGATAGTGATTATATACCATTACAAAGCAGTGTACCCACAACAATTGAAAACAAAACAGTTTCAGATCAACCAGTCTATTTTATAACAACTACATCTAATAACATTTCACCTAAATCACCAAAAGCATATCCAACTGGGAAAAAAGATAGCGACAAAATGAAAAAAAATGGTAATTACCTATCTTTTCTTTAAATACCTATGACCTATCCATCAAATTTAAAATTATATTGCCTTAAATATTACATTTTTTAGAGTACTTATCCAATAACCTTACTTATACCTTACATATATAAAACCATCATAAATTATGTAAGCACTGCCCAACTCTCATTAATATTTTTTTTTATTTTGTGTTTTATAGAGGATTTTGAACAGAATCGTTTGGAAAGTTTCAAACATGAAGCTGAATTGAGGATTAAAAGACAAACAAATTTAATCGAGCAAGAAAAAGCAATTCATGTTTGTTAAGTACCTGGTGCTTAAAATAGTGTTTGTGCGGCTCCACATCCGTTATATCCGACACCAGAATTGAAACATTAGTTGGCACGTCTTAAAGCAAGAACTGAGATATAAAGTCATGGTTTTAGGTCTATGAACATAACTTAAAAAACTCCGCATCTTATAATGGTCTGAAAGAAGTCGCACGATTATCTGCCACAGGCTGCGCTTCGATCGCTATGGTCAAGGGCGCACCCAAGGGTGTGGCTAACGGGCTTTAGCCCCCCCCCCCCCCCAAATGGCTAGCCCCAAACATTTTGATAATTTTATTAGGTTTATTGAAAAATTGACATTTTACTTTAAATTGTTATAAAAAAAAATTATGAACTATCGAAATTGAAACATTAGGCATAACATAATATTATATTATATCATTGATTTTATAATTTTATAAAATTTATTCCTGTCATTCCAGGCCCCGGGAGAGACCTCTGTTGTCTATTATTATAGACTACGGCGACACTTAAAACCGGGACAAAAATAAAAAAAATTTGTTAGTAAAAGATTATAAAAAAGCTTAAAGATTTCTGTACATATTTCAAAATAAATACTACCTATTAATATTAAAATTATGTGAATTTAGCCCTCCCCAAAAAAAAATCCTGGGTGCGCCCCTGGCTATGGTTGCTACTTAAAGCCACGTAGTAGGTATTTTGATTGTTCATGTTTTTTGCGTTTGTTTGGAAAATATATTTATTATTTTGAACCATGATCCCTTTCAAACCGGCTACCTTTGAAACATACCTACTTACATAATTTTCTTTCTTTTAAACCATTTAATGCGTTAAAAAAAATATATTTTGGAGATAAATATAGTCCCCCAAAATTAATGGGCCCCGGGATCGTGCCCCCCCCTTAATCTGGACTTAACGCCCATTTGGTAAGTTATATTTTACATTTTTACGCACGTACACAATGGACTTACCGATTTTTTTCTTATTGAAAACCTTGCATGTAAGCATGTTCTTCAGAAGTTCAGGCTTTGGATAATTTCTTGATTGTGCTGTGACGACTGACGGCTATTACGATTTACGATTTCTAAAGTTACTGTTACTTATCGCAGTACAATTCACGAATTACAAACCAACCAATTATAAACAAACGGTAAATTTAAAATCAACAACCTTAACGAGTTTGCGGCGATGACCCGACAACGCGTTACTCGATGGCGATGATACCTACGGAAAAAATATTAAACAAGAAATTATCGCCACACGCGTTGCATAGACAATTGTATTGCAACGATAAAATCCCCACTTACTTTTGCTATTACGCATGCGCCTCAACGTTCTAGTTCAGTGAACCCAACCTATTTTACTTGACAGCGCTTTGATCTTTTAATAAATTATCAAGACACACACAAAGAAATAAATACGTATTATCTTTCGACGATACAAACAGGTAAATGATAATTAATACCTTATCATTCCGGGTAAAACCAAAACATAAATTTATCATCGGCATATTAACGTATAATTTTTGAACTAACTTAGGAGGACGCCACACCCGCCCCAGTGCCCCACGCTGTGCATCGTGAAACACAAACCGTTCCCTGAACGTTGTTTTTGAGTTTTATTGAAGCATAAGTAAGCAACGTTCCTCATACCCACGTATTATAAATATTGGTTGGTTAATTCCGGTAACTATAAGTTGTTTTTGTGACTTTTCCGGTAATGTTTGAGGTATGTTTCATAAAACTGTTTTAATACAAGTTCATAATAAATGTTACAATGCTATGTATTTTGTGTTTCGTGTTAACTACTTAAATTATATTTATGGTACATAAGAGGAACGGTTCTAACTTCTAAATCTTATATGAAAATTTTTATTTTTGAATTTGATTGTAATATTATATAATATTATATCGGATAATTGTAATTTGACGGTTATCCTAATTATAAATATTATATACGCAGATATCTCGCTAATTGTTTTTTTTAAACATTAAATAAACTGTGTAACCGCGGGCCGACCGCCGGGTGCAGGGCCTACTTCTAAGACCTCTATACTCTATATAGGAACCCAGTACACTTATTAATAAATTAAAATAATTTATAAAAATTGAAAATCTCTCTTAAATTAATAATTTCTTACCTAGTAAAATAATTTAATTAATTTATGATTTCATTAACATGTGTTTAGTTAACAAATAATAAATAACACGCCATCCATACGCCATTAATTTATCTAAGAGCGAACTGCTATCGCGCACGCAGACTAAGCCGCCGAACAGTGCCTGACCCCCTGTGGCCCTGCGATGGTTGTGAGTTCTGTGATTTGCTGAAAATCGTCGGCGGCCGTCTTCGGTCGTCCGGCGTCTGTGCTAACGCTCTGACCGATGTCCCCGGATTGTGGTGGTGAGCGGAAAAAACGTTTTTTGGTTGGCCGATTGGTTCACGTGACTAACGGCTAACGACAATGCGAGTTGCGAGTTTGCGACATTTGCAACTTTCAATAACAGTTTACAGTTTACATCAAACACAGTATTTACTATTTAGTATTTGCATCTCGGTTTAAATTACCTACTTTATTTTACGATGATCGAGTCCGAGGAAAACGTGCGGGATGTCAATAAGGTAAGAACATTATTGTGAATAATTTAAATAGGTAGGTATACGTAGGTACCCCTAATAATATTATAAAATTAATATGGTGACTAACGACTAGATAAAAATAATCAAAAAAAGTATTATGTTTAATGTACCTACATTGAGGACGCACATTGGGCAAATATGCTATTATATATTAGTGATGTTGTTTACAATATTATATTACCTACTATTATTATACCAATTTATACCGCATTATATACATATATATTATATAGTATACAGTCTATGTTACGGGCAAAGTTGGAAATCCGGGCACTGTGCACAATGTCCGAACATTTTGGACAGTGTAAGAATGATCATTTTAATATTCAAATTGTTTATACATTGACCGAACATTGTACTAAACTGCCCGTACAAATAGTGTACCCTGCCCAGATTCGAGGAGGCAAAGTGAATTAAATACAGCGAGCTACACACATTTATATCAAATTGCATTTATACGTAACAATATATCACTACAATAAACTATACTTAGATAGTTAGATATTTTATTCATACGCGACAACGCGACGGCTGCCGATAATACGAACCTTATGCAAATTAACTTCTTAACTCAAGTTAATAGTTAGTCAAAAAAAAAAATATTAAAATTTAAAATTATAGATACCTAAAATTGTTTATGTAATTAAGTCAAAGAACTATTATTATTATATGTTCCAAAAGGTAACAATACAGATTTTATTAATATTATTAATACTTATTACAACTTATAAAATGTGTACCATAAATTTAATTTTAGCCAAAATAAAAAACTTGGTACCTATAATTAAAAAACTTAATAATTATAAAAAAATAACTTATTAAGATTAAACATTAAATTGACTTAACTTTAACTTTTTAATGCGTTATTAATGCCATAGCAAGATATAGGTCCATATATTTCTATAGTAAGGCTTTTGCCTTACTTCCTTAGCTGACAGGCGCGTTAAAGCTAACCTAGTCTTTTTGGAAAAGTTATTTGATGATTCTATCAATGCTCCTTCTCTGCTTTTGAAAATTAACTTTAAAATTCCTCATCGCTCCACAAGGTCCCAAGTTCCTTTTGCTTTACCTTTTCATAGCACCAATTATGGTATAATAGACACTTACCAATTGACCACATGATGCATCTGGGTAACAAGGATCCCTTCTTTCTTAGTGCATCTCAATATTGTATTATTGATTTCTTATTTTTTATTTTATTAATTTGTTATTATTTTGTATGTATAGTTTTATTTATGCTGTTGCTATAATAGCAATATCCTTTTTTTTATGTCCTAATTATTAGAATTTATATTTTTTGTACCTGTAAGTTTATTGTACTATTGGGCTACCGCCCATTATATAATATACATAGGTATTATGTTAAATAAATAATTATAATATAAATATTAATACCAGATCATTTTATGGTTCTTTTTTAAAGTGCAGTATTTATATATTGTATATTTGATTTTTAAGGAGAATTTTGAATGGAGTGGGTAGATCTATATAATAACTGTAATAATAGTAGGTGAAGTTGTTGGTTAAATGTTAAGGCATATTAGGTATATTAAGGACTTTGAGTGAAGCATTTGCTGAGTGTCATCCGTAAGGTGATGAGGTTAGGTTCTTAAAAAAAAAACCTATATAATAATTACCATTATTATTATAACTAACTCTGTTTCTTATAGGTATAAGCTATATATTATATTTTAATATGATTTTATTTCAGTGATTATGCGTTTTAAGAGTTGAAGATTTTAACAATAAATACCTAATTATTATAGTACTTCTATTGTAGATAATTTTGAAATGGCTCAAAGGAAACTACAATGTATTATGGATTCTGAATCAGAATCTGGTTTAATTAATTTAGGGAGAAGTCAAAGAAAAAAAAAAGGCATCTCACTTTGATGAATTTCCTTCAAACATAACCAGTTCAGATAATGGTATGCATTTAAAAGTAAATATTCATTATGATTTAAATATATAGATTTAATTTATTAAGAATCAGATGATGGATCTTCAAAGAATATTGTTGGAAACGTGTTCAATATAAGGACACAGCAAAATCATACAACAAATTATGATTTTTATAAAAACTTAATTGTTTCTCCTGTACATGATGAGGTAGATTAATTATTACAGTTTTTAAATATGTTTTAACATTTATTTTAAAATTTTTTTAGACACCAAAATCTTATATTGCTTTACCACCTAAGTCAAGTCAATCTGGATCATTATTAATTAATAATCGTCAAATGATTGGACAAAATAGCAGATATGATAACAATCCACCACATGAAACTAACATTCCTTTAGATTCTATTACACAGTTTATACCTAGTACATCTAATATATCTCATTTAGTTGAAAAAAGTTAACTTTAAATTTATT